GGGGGGGGGGGGGGGGGGGGGGGGAAGGAAGAGAACAAGGAGAGGAAAAGAGAGGAAGACCCAAGAGGACGAGAAGAAAGAAGAGGGTGACACAGGAGGTGGAGTAGAAAACACGTACGATAAAGATGGAGACAAGTAACGGGCAACACCAGAACCGACAAGAGGAACATGAGGAGAAGAAGAAGAAGAAGAAGAAGAAGAAGAAGAAGAAGAAGAAGAAGAAGAAGAAGAAGAAGAATGAGAAGAAGAATGAACAGGCAAAAACACGACAGGAAGGAGAGGGAGGAGGAGGAGGGGGAGGAAAATCAGCACAGCACAAGGGAGAAGAAGAGGAGTCGTCACGCCGGAGGAGGAGGAGAAAGAGAAGGAGAAGAGCGAGGAGAGGAGAAGGAGAAGTAGAAGCGGAATGAGGAAGAGGAGGAAGAGGAGGAGAAGGGAAGGAGGAGGAGGAGGAGGAGGAAGAGGAGAAGGACAAGAAGGACGAGAAGGGGGAGAAGCAAAAGAGGGGGGAGAAAGAAGATAGGGAAAGGAGGAAGAGAATGGGGAGAAGGACAAATAGGACTCGTAGGACGAGAAGCAGGAGGCAGAGGAGTAGGAGGAGGAGGAGGAGGCGGAGGAGGCGGGGAAAGAGGCTTACCGCGTCTCACGCTTCAGTCGCTCATTATTCACCGGTCGTATCACCGCTCAGGCCTCCTTCCCTCCCAGTTATTGATGACAAGGAGTGCTAAGACGACTTCAGCGAGAAGAGAGAACGAGAGGAGGAGAGGAAGAGAAGGAGAAGAGGAGGACAGGAAGAGAAGTAGAGGAGGAGGAGGAGGAGGAGGAGGAGGAGGAGGAGGGGGAGGAGGAGCGGTGGGACACAGGCGCTCTGGAGCCGATAGCCGTGCTGCTATCTACTGCCTTCGTCAGGGAACAAGAGGAAGGGAATGAAGTTGGGAGGGGGACGGAATCGAGATCGACCAGTAGGCGGAGGAGGAGTTCAAGGAAGTGTGAAAACGACAAGGACACCGAGGAGGAGTTCAAGGAAATGTGAAAACAACAAGTACGCCAGTACGGCTACACCTCCACACATGGAAATGTCAATGAGATATTCAGGGTCTACATAAGTATCATGGTCTTTAATGCTTTTTCTCTCTCTCTCTCTCTCTCTCTCACACACACACACACACACACACACACACACACACACACACACACACCCGCCCCATATACACACACACATCCGGCCCATATACACACGCGTGTGAGCGCAAACGTAGTGCTCGAGTAGACAACCAATTGCTGTCGCAGAAGACAGCAAAGTGATGCCACATCCCCCACACGTCAACGGAAAAGCTCAGGCTTCTATTTTCATTCTCTTGTTTTTTTTTTTCCGTTCAGAACAGTGAACGGTTTTAGAGCAAGGCCCAAGGTCACAGCTATAGCCAAAAGAGTTCGATATACGAAGGAACCTCATTCCCCCCTCCCCTCCCGGAAAATCTCTCTCTCTCTCTCTCTCTCTTTTTTTCGCTGCACACACTAACACCCCCCCACCCACCCACCACCATCAAACACACACAACCGGGGGTTAAATCTTTATACTTTGAGATGGGAAGGGGGGGGATTAATCTTATTCTTTGAGATGCAAGGGGTTGTTGAATCTCTCCTTTTTTCCTTTTTTCTTGGCAATGAACCTGTGACTGTTTTTGATGTCAGGGGTCGAATCTTTTTTTTCTTTTTTTTGAAGGCTTCATTGTATATCTCGTCTTTTTTGAGGGAATGACCGGCTGGCGAGACCGACTCTTCAGTTCGATTGTGAAGAGCGAAGGCGAGAGAGAAACACCCCCCTCTCTCTCCTTGCACACATTGTGAGAGAGAGAGGAGACATGCAGTGACGGAGAGAAAGAGGGAAGGAAGAATGCTTCTAGAGCCGCACATTTTGAACGACGTCGATCGCCTGGAACAGAGTTCCCTGATGAAATGTGATAAACATCTCATGATGTGTATAGCAGCATGTAGATGGATTAATTCAATTATTAATTTATTAATACATCCAATTAACACTTGACGATGGTCGTCGTGAGCACGAAGAAAACTGTAGCGGAAAATCAACCGACGAAAAAGACGACCACTCGTCGTTCACCGAGTCTTTTTTTTTTTTTTTTTTTTCACCCTCGGCCTTCTTCATTTTGCTTCAGAAACAGAACTGGCGTTTTAAAGGACACCTCTTTTTTATTGTGTGTGTGTGTGTGTGTGTGTGTGTGTGTGTGTGTGTGAGAGAGAGAGAGAGAGAGAGAGAGAGAGAGAGAGAGAGAGAGAGAGAGAGAGANGAGAGAGAGAGAGAGAGAGAGAGAGAGAGAGAGAGAGAGAGAGAGAGAGAGAGAGAGAGAGAGAGAGAGAGAGAGAATACTGCTGAAGCGGTATTTTGAACGACGTCCATTGTCCGGAATAGAGTTCCATGACGGTATGGGATGAAAATATCATGATGTGTGAAAAAAAAATAAATAAAAAAATCTCACGATGTTTGTGGCAGGTCGATGGCCGTCGTGAGGACGAAGAAGAAACAGTCGCGGAAAATGAACAGATGAAATCGACGACCGGTCGTTTTTTTTTTTTTTCCCCCTTAAGCCTCGGCCTTCTTGATTTGCTTCACAAACAGAACTAACCTTCAAAAAAAAAAATACAGATTAGCAGAGTTTCATCAATCCGTTCACCTATTTTAATCAATCCATGACTCCATTCACCTTTTCTTTTTTTTTTTTTTTTTTTGAACAAGAAACTCACCTCATTTTATACCACACAAGAAGGGGGGGGCCGGGAATCCCTCCACAAACAACCCGGCAGAAGCAAGTGAACAAATACTGGGACCATTATCCAGATTGGGTGCTGGTGCTCTCTATTCTCTAATAATTTTTGGTGGATTTTGTGTTGAAGGTTGTGATAAGTAGGATTTTGTCAGTAGATAGAATTCCTTGTAGGTATGTTCGGCTTTTCTGGCCTTGTGGCCTTTCCTTCTTTTTTTTAACAGGGTAGGGAAATGTCAGCGCAGGGGTCTGGATTTGGCCATTCTGCGACTGGACTAAAATTCCCATTCACCTATTTTAATCAATGCATTCAACTTTTTTTTTTGTTTTGTTTTTTTGTTTGCGTGTCATCCTTGCGCAGAATCCATGCGAATCTTCTCTGTGTCGTTCCAGTTTTAATGGGTGTCCCGAAGGACATCCATTCACCTATTTTAATCAAATCCATTCACCGATTTTAATCAAATCCATTTACCTATTTTAATCAAATCCATTCACCTATTTTAATGAAATCCATTCACCTATTTTAATCAAATCCATTCACCTAGTTTAAGGAAATCCATTCACCATGAAAGATAGTTGTTTAAAAAAAAAAATAAAAAAAAAATCCATTCACCATCTTTATGAGTGGAAGCGGGATCGACTGAGAGGATAGGTTGTGGTGGAATAGACGAACATCGTGATTTGATTAAGATCGTCCAGATGCGATCGTCAATTCAATTCTGCATTTCAAGTTGATTTCAACGCAAACCTGATGATCATTTGCATTTGGTGTTGGCGTCACCAACGCCGACACGCGCGAGGCGTGACAGAGGAGAAATGCAACGGGTCTGTGAACATCCCCACCTGTACAATGGAGATTGAAATAAAAACAAACAAACAAACAAACGAAGTTTAACAAACAAAAAAAGATATGACAGCAATAGTGGCAACGTCCCTCACCGGTAGAATGGAGATTGAGATTTATAAAAACGAACAAAAAAAGATATGATAGCAATAGACGGGAGCATAACAGAACACACTGAGAAGAAAAGAAAGAGAGAAGAGAAGGTACACGATTAAGAGGATGCGCTCAAAGGGTGTAGTAATATGACACGATCAACATTCCCTCATCCCTTTTCTTTTTCGCCTTTTTTCCCCCTTTTTCCCCCCCTTTTTTTTCCCCTTCCCTCCCCCCCCCCCTTTTTTTCCCCCTTTTTCCCCCCCCTTTCTTCTTATAATATTCTGAATCATCTAGGACGGGTCTCCATGAAGAGCAGGTAGTGGCCCGAAGAATACTATCCCGCTGCGATCTCTCTCTGCCCTGTCCCTCTCGCCATCTCTTTCTCCCTCACTCTTCCCGTTCTTTTGCTATTCTCCCCTGTCTCCACCCCTCTCTCTCTCGCTCTAGTGGGTGCGTCCGGTCATTAAAATATCGTCAAATGCCCTCTCTCTCTCTCTCTCTCTCTCTCTCTCTCTCTCTCTCTCTCTCTCTCTCTCTCTCTCTCTCTCTCTCTCTCTCTCTCTCT